ACTCCTCTTGCCTTCGTCTCCCGTCTCCCCTCCCTCCCCTCCCTCCCCTCCCTCCCCTCCCTCCTCCCTCCTCCTCCTCCTTCCTTCTTCCTGGCTCCCTCCTCCTCCCCCGATGATCTGTTTCCCTCTGTCCCTTTCCAACCCCACCACCTCTCTCCAAACCTCCTCCCTCTCTCCTCCGTATTTCCTCGTGCCCCCTCCCCTGCTTCTGTCTCAAGTCTTGTCAGTCGACTTTCGTCTCGGGATGGCTTCGAAGATTTCTTACATCATGACATCAATGGCAATTCACTCGCTTCTTGTTCTTGTTCTAAACTTTCCAATCAGACATGAACAAACTTGACGAAATTCCTCAAAGTGAGATCAGCGCGACGGAGGAGAAAGGAAAAGAGCGAAGGATGTTATGTGTTGTTGTGTTGACAACAATACGACAGACGATCAGCTGTTGACGGACAGAAGAGATTCTCCAAATGGTTTTGATGATGACAAGAGAGGTATGTTTTGCCTGTTTGTATCAGGTTTGAATGTCGGACGCGCTGTCTTGACTTGTTTGTTTCGCAGTGTTGAATATTTCATCAACGCCCCTCACTACAATCACGAGAAAATCAGCAAGAATGCAAGAAAATCAGTTCTTTGCAATGGATGTCTTGATGACCAAAGGACCGTGTTTGTACGCGAACACGCGGGAAAGGATGATTGTTGAATTTTCACAGAACAACAAGGTTGCAAATATGTTGAGGTGACGGCAATGGATAAAACGATATCTCAGGTCAAACGATGTCGAGTGGATGGAGAAATATCTTTCAGTTATGTCGAGGGTATGAGTGAGATGAACTTCGAGGTAAGACATGTTGTTGTGGTTGATGATGATGATGATGATGATGATGATTATGATATCAATTCTGTTGTTCAACCTGATTGTTCATATGAAGGAAATCTTGATGTGTCTGTGTTTCCCCGCGAACAAGTCAGAGATCAAACAGCTGTCAGGGATCAAGGTATTCGCTCTCTCTAGCGCTCTCCCCTCGACACCCTGCTGCTGCTGCTGCTGCTGCTGCTGCTGCTGCTGCTGCTGCTTCCTGCTTCCTGCTTCCTGCTTCCTGCTCCTTCTCCTGCTCCTGCTCGTTGCTCCTTGCTCCTTGCTCCTTCTCCTGCTCCCTGCTCCTCCTCGTCCTCGTCCTCCTCCTGCTCCTCCTCCTCCTCAGTATCTTCCTCCTCCTTCGAGGTGTTATCACACAAATGGAATAATCTTCAACTTTCTCCAACGTCTTATCTTCTGACCCTCGTGATATCTTGTTTGCATCTTTATCTCATCACAGAACTTCTCTTCCTTCATCTTCTTCATCTCTCATCTTCCTTCCTTGCTGCATGTTGAGAAGAAATATCACCATTTCAGTCTCATCGTTTCACCGTGACAGGAGAAAGTCAAAATCCTGCCAACTCAAACTATCCTGATGGCTGAGCGGGCGAACGGGCGAGGAAAGAAAGGGGAGGAGATTATTTTTCCTCTCCTCCTTCAAGTCTCCTCCGACGATGTTAGCAAGCATGCTGTGCTCGTCAAATATTCCGTTGAGAAGGAAAATTTCAAGTCATTCCCAGCATGTTTGCCCATGAAGGTCAGAGAGCAAGATTGTTTCTTGTTGGTCTTACTTTCAGATCAGTTGGATGCTCAACTCCTGCAATCAACTTCTCCTTCAGCCTCGAACATGAATGGAAAGGGAGACACAACAACTCTTGCGATGATGATCAAGTTTTCGTTGAATGAGGAGTTTGATGTATGCTCATCATCATCATCATCATCATCATCATCATCATCATCATCATCATCATCATCATCATCATCATCATCATCATCATCATCATCATCGTCATCGTCATCATCATCATCATCATCATCATCATCGTCTATCGTACTATCGTCGTCATCATCTCCATCATCATCATCATCATCATCATCTCCATCATCATC